TCCGAGTGCCTGGGCGCCAAGGCCGGCGACTGTGCCAAGCGCAGGGGCTGGGCCCGCTTCCGAGATGCCTGCGGGAAGGGCGAGGACTGGAACAAGGTATCCAAGGCCGAGTCCATGGAGACGCTCCCCGAGAGGACCAAGGCGGCCGGGGAGGCCACCCTGAAGAAGACGGACTCGTGTGACAGCGGCATCACCAAGAGCGACCTGCGCCTGGACAACGTGGGCGAGGCCAGGAGCCCCCAGGACCGGAGCCCCATCTTGGCCGAGGTCAAGCACTCCTTCTACCCCATCCCCGAGCAGACGCTGCAGGCCAGCATCCTGGAGGCCAAGCTGGAGCTGAAGGAGGACATCAAGGCCCTGCACGCCAAGATGACCCACATCGAGACACAGCTGGCCGAGATCCTCAGGATATTAGCGTCCAGAAGGTCTTCCCAGTCCCCCCAGGAGCTGTTCGAAATATCCGGGCCCCACTCCCCAGAATCGGGGAGAGACATTTTCGGCGCCAGCTGAGAGGCCTGTTCATGAACAGTCAGAGACAAAAACCGACCCCCCTGCCCTAGGCAACACCCCCACCACACACACCTACATGAGCAGCAACTCTCAGAGCAGGCTCTTCCTGACAGAAAACCAAAGTGGGACCAGTTGCTTAGGCACACGCTCTCCTTCCGTCAAAGGCGCGGGGAGGAGAGTGTGCACCGGGACTGTCTTTGCACAATTTCGGAAGAGGGGGCATGCGGTCTAAAGGGTGTTTCCCTTCATTTTTAATTTTTTACTGCCGTGATATTAGTAAAAGATGAAAACTACCAGAAAAGAGCAGCCGCCATTTGGACATTGGTGGGGGAGCACCGAGAGCCCCTCACGTGGGTCTGCTCCTTCTCCCAGTCCCCAAAGACTGTGGTGGGCACAGGATTTCCCAGCATTCCCTGTCCTTGTACAGCCTGTGTCTGGCATCACCGTCTATTTTCCTACAGTCGTTGTTTGTAACGAGCTCGGGACCAGGGGAGTTTGAGGGGCAGGGAGGGGAGCGCCTTTCAACTTTCTGTCTGTAATGGTTAAGGCCAAAAAGCAGCTGAGGTGCTGTGGGTGCATCCCACAGACACAGAGCCGGGACTCCCCCGGCTCCTTTCTCCAAAGAGGTGGACCAAGCGTCAGAGCTGGAGAGGGGCCCTTGGGATCCAGGGATTCTCCGCAGCTGGCTCCTAAGGATGTTCCGAGGGGAGGGCTCTGGGGGCCCCAGATGAATTCTGGCCTCGCTTCATGCCACTGGCCTCATCACCAGGCCCCTTTGCTTCCTGTCCTTCTCCGCCTCTCCCCACGTGCTCCTGTGGCATTCCTCAGGGTATGGGACATCGGCAGGAAGGGTGATGAGCCCAGAGTTGCTTCGTTAGCCAAGCAGACACACATAACCTCAGAAAAATGATTGTAGCAAGTGCTCTGTTTCTATTATCATTCTCGTTGGGATTGCCCTTCAGAAGTCTGGATTTTGTCCGCTGCATGGGGTCGTTCTAGGACACGCAGGAGCCAGGCTTGGCCTTATTTTCTCTCTTTACCTCCGACTAGAGTCAGTAGGACTTCAAGAGGAACTCTGAAAAGATTGCAGGGCCATGATGGTCCTCACTTCCAGAGCTGGGAAAAGAGAACGGGGCAGTGGGTTTTCCAGAAGTCTCTGTGAGGTGGTGGAGAGAGGTGGCCGTGGAGCCATGGTCCGCAGGGAAGGTCTGAGCTCAGAACGATGATTGTGGGGCCGCCTGTGGGCCATCCAAGTCCCTATACCACAGTCCTCGGGGAATCTCCACTGCTTCCTATGACCTGGGGCAGGTCATTCCTGTGCTTGGGCTGCTGTCATCGGTGTCTGGGAAAGGCAAGAGAAGAGTTCCCTCCCAAGCAAAGTGGGGCTCGCCCAGGTGTCGGCCCTGCAGAGAGGAACCAGGACCCTTAAAAACTGACAAGCAAGGTTGGAAGTTCAGTTCTAAGAACTCAGCTCTGGGAGAGTGAGGCTGGCATGCAGGTGGTCTGGCCTGTGGGTGACAGCATGGAGTGCCAGGGCCCTGGCCTCTGCGCCTGCTACGCTGCAGCAGCCCTCTTAGCGCCCGTGCCCGCAGTGCCTTGCTGCAGAGAACCCTGACCCCAGCGCTGATTTCCCTGGGACTGAGGGGACCCGACAGGTCAGGACCTGCCCCAGCCGAGATGGTCAGTGGCCGTGGCGCGACCCTCTCCTGGCTCCCAGGGTTGGCACAGACGGTCCTGGGCAGCCAAGTCTGGAGGTCAAGGCCAGGGACCTTCCCCAGGGGTCCCGCGCTCTCACGCGAGGCTTACAGGGGTGGCCCCAGGATTCCCGAGGCTGAGAAATGATTAGATTGAACCTCAGATGGAAGCCTAGAGAGAAGAAGTGAGATTTCCTGAGGCCGAGCCATGATGGTTTGTGATCCTGGGTAAAGCCACGGGCTCTCAGCTTCTTTAAGTTGAGAAGCTGCCAATGAGTCCTTGGGGCAAAGGCTATAAAATATCCAGAATCCCATCTATCAGCTTTTCCAGAAACGTTCTGGCTTGCCTTTCCTTAAACGTGCTCCTCACCTGCTGGAATCCCAAAGGTTCGGGGCTGCTGCATTTAAAGGAGGCATGGGCCCTGACCACTAGCAGCCAGCTTCAGACGCACCTGCCCACTCTCCAGGCCCCCGCCCAGCCCTTCCGCCTCCTGTCATCTCCGCCTGAGGGGCACAGGTGTCCATTCAGAAATGACTCCCCATCTGGGTCTGAGGGGCTAAGATGCTGATGCCTGAGGCTCTGAAGCCCAGACTTGTTTGGGGGGAAATAAAGCTTCATGAATGCGCTCCTAGGATTGACCCTTAGGACTCAAACTGGGCTTGACTGGAAGCCCAGGCCTGTTCATCTTGAGGTCACAGGGCCCACGGCACGTGACAGCGAGAGCACACGTGTCTGTATATGCTTTTGTTCTCCATTTAAGGGTTTTAGGGACTTTTGCTGTAATTGTTTTCTCGGGGGGGGGGGGGTGTGGAGATTTTTTAAATGAGCCAAACCTTCTCTTCTTTCATGTTTATGACATGCACTGGGTCGGAGGCTGCTTTGTGCTAACCACCTGCGCTTGCCTGAACGCTGCTCTGGGTTCCCAGTAAGGACCGAGAGCTTCACATTCCAAGCAATGACTGAACCTTCCCCTGTAAACCATGCCATGACCCTCCGAAGGCCTGAGAAAAGGGAGAGTTTTAAGAGGGTTAGTGGGTAAGGTTTTAGCACTAGAGGAGAGGAGCCTTCTGCTAAAGCAGCGGTTCTCAACCTGTGGGTTGTGACCCCTTCGGGGGTCGAACGACCCTTTCACAGGGGTCGCCTAAGACCATCCTGCATATCAGATATTTACATTTCGATTCATAACAGTAGCAAAATTACAGTTATGAAGTAGCAACGAAAATAATTTTATGGTTGGGGGTCACCACAACATGAGGAACTGTATTTAAAGGGCCAGAAGGTTGAGAACCACTGTGCTAAAGGAATGGGTTAGAAGAGGGCAAAGGTAGATACAGAGCAGGTGGTGCCATAGGGTTAGGGGAAGCCACAGTTGGTGCTGCCAGGCAAGAGGCCTCAGAGGCTTTTAAATCTCCTTTTAGTCATTTAGTAGCTTCAGTTAACCTAGAAATGGTATTTGTAAAGAGGCCCGAATCTGTTTAGAAGCCTCTAAGTACCAGTTAACGTCGCTTTCCCATTCAGGTCCTTTAGTTCTACTGCCGCGATCTTCTCTAATCTAGTCCTGAGAAAAGCTGGGGGAGATTGAGAGTTCTGCATAATGACCACTGACGTGCTAAATAGTCTTTAGTAAGGTTGCTCCATTTAGTAAAAAAAATGCACATGAAGCAAAACTAACCTTTAACATAACGCCAGCTGGGGTCCCTGAAGGAGGGCCATCCGCAGGGCATTCAGATGCCTGGGCCCCCATTTCTCAGAGGTATTCTTGAGAGCAAAAGAAACATTCCTAACTAGTCTGAAGGGGGCGCTTTCAGGTTGGGAGTTGTTTTGTTTCACTACTAGGACAGCTAGGACAGTGTGCCTTTCACGGATACGTTTTGTTTTTGGTTTTTTTCTCCTAGAGAACAACTTTTGCCCTAGTTGTTCCACTCAGGCCCAGGTGTCCCTTCGTTTCACAGAAATTTTCCTGGCTGTTGGCAGGCAACCTGATGTCAGTCTGGCCTGTCTGTGACCGATTTATCCTCTCACAGAGTCTTTTGCTTCAGAGACCAAAACTCTCACAAGGAGGTGGTGAGAACTCTGGTAAGATTTGTTTGCTGGACCCATGACCATTGATATTTTTCATTTTTGCTCTCAAAAATTCCAAAGTAATTATACCAAAATTCTAGTGCACTTCTAACAAGGAAACAAACGAGTAGAATGACTGCTGAAACCGAAGGAATGAAGCAGTTAAATAGGTTCTGAATAAAGAGGGAGAGGGAGCTCAGAATCCCAGAGGAGACTCCCCAAACCGGAAGTGAGGGAGACTCACAGAGGCTATGAGCACAGAGGGGCTCGTTAGGGTACCCCCTCTATTCTGAAGGAACTGCCAGGGTCGCTGTCCTTTGCAAGTCGTTTCTTTTGGGTCCCACTTCTGACACCAAGGAATGTGACCTAAATAAACAGGCAAGCTCAAAACTGTCAAAAAAAAAAAAAAAGATGAATTTGGGAATAACAGAGGAATTGCTATTCGGGACAAGCAAACTGTAGGAAACTACAGGCGAGTCCTAAATGGCAGTTCCTTGGCCATTCCTGAGAACTCATCTTCTTTGGGAATTTTGAGCTTGCCTCTCTATTCAGGTCGACAAAGCCAACTGTCAGACTTTTGTCCAAGTCTGTGTGGGAACTACCTGAATGCCTTAGGAATGCCAGGTGTAGGAAGAACCTTGCCTCCCCTTGTGCACCTTCTGGGAAATCCTGGGTGGAGATGCGAATTGAAGTGCATTTGACGAAGTGCAATAACGATGTTTAGCCTTAAGACCCTTGAATGGAACTCCAACTCTACTGGAGCTGCCAACACTCCTCCCCTTTCCTGCCCCCTCACATAGCGTTGCTTAAAGAGGAGGCCCACTGCGGGCCCACTGGGCCCCGGACAGCCTCTCTTCTGTGTAAATCATTGTACTGTCTTCTCGCTCGCTTCGGTAAAAATTACCTTCACCAGCTCCTGTGCCCTCCAACTGGAGGAGATTTCAGTGTCCTCTCAGCACCGATGGCAGCCGTTAGAGAAATCACCATTTTCTTGAGAACCAAGGTGTTCATGTGGAGAAGTTTTCATTTCCACCCCCCGAAGTTCAATGTGAATTTGCCTGAAGCTTAGTTTCACATGAAACTTCTTCACGCGAGCTTCTCAGACTCATTCTGGAACCTCTAGAACTGGACTTGAATAACCTGCAGGTGCCGGACCGGTGGAGGCCCTCCTGGCCCACCATCAAACCCTTCGTAGAGCCATTGTCTCTTTCTCTGTGACTTCTGGATCCATTAGTTGTACAATGAGAAGCTCACGGATCTTGTATCAGGATATGAACTACCTTTGTGTTGAGAAAGATTCAAACGCCCCCGGTTGAATGTATTCTCTTAATATTCAGACGCTGTATTCCTGCATCAGTTGGGACTGTCCCCATCCGACATCCTGCCAACACTGCAAGGACACCTACTCATGGGCAGTTTGTCATCCTGGGGCTTCTCCTTAGATTAACACACTTTCCATTGAGTCCTGCCAAATCCTGCACTGGGTTTTCTTTTTCCTTGGCATCTGTCACTTTGTCCAAATGAGCATGAAGAAACACAAGTGCAAATGAGCCGATACTATTTTTGTGGCAGGTGGAGGATGCTGCCAGGAACTCCCTTGTATGTCTGCAACTTGGGAATGTTAAGAGGAACATTTGGGTCCCTCCATTGATGATATTCCCTTCTCAACATTTTTAAACAAGCACAAATGATATTTGTAAAAAAAAATGTTTAATTTTATTTATTATGGTAATAAACTATTTTATACATGACACTTACTCTTGCCTTTCTTTATATAATTTCAATTGGGTGTTCGTACCTAAGATGACAGAACAAGAATGGTACTTCCTACTCCTTTTTGAGAGCTTGGGAAGCTCTAATTTGGAGGCACCTACAATTGTGGGTTTTAGAGAACTTAAAATTCTAGAGTCCTAGCCGGGTTGCTCAGTGGTTAGAGCATTGGCCCTTTGACTAAAGGCTTCATCCCCAGTGTGTGTGGGAGGCAACCAATCGATGTCTCTCTCACATGTATGTTTCCCTTTGTCTCTCCTTCTCCCTTCCACTCTCTCTAAAAAATCAAGGGGGAAAAAATATCCTTGGGTGAGGATTAAAAAAAAAAATTCTAGAGGCACCAAGATTGTGTGTCAAAGTGAACAGTTGTGAAGCGGCTTTGCAATATGACCGGAAGTAGAGCTGTGTCTGTTCTACCTGTTACAGAGACGTCTTCAAAGCCTGCGTCACTGGAAAATTATGGCACAACACACTGACTTAACACTTATCTGAAACTGACCTCCACTGAGAAATGTACTTTTTTATTTTGAAAAATCTGGATTGAAATTTGTAGTATAAGATATATGAATGCTGTCCTGCCTTTTAAAATATGGTGTAAAAAGACACCACACCTAAATCTTTTCAGAATGATTCGGTGTGGACAGGTTGACAGAACGAGTTTGACCTGTGCTTTAACTCACTGATGTTCTCAGAAGCTACGAGGGTAGAGGACTGCTTGGCCCTGAATTAGCCCTCCACCAGCACTGTTTCTGTCCTGCTCTGGTTTTCATAGGCATGGCTTCCTGCCCAGGGCAAGGTTCTCCACAATACTGCCAACCTGAGTTCTTTCTTAATACCAATGGACCACGTTTCAACAGGAGCACTTTTCTTTTTACAGACAGTACAACTTCAGGGGTGAGCCCTCTGTGATCTGCAAGCCGTATTCAGGCCTCTGCCTGATGTCATAAAGCCACAGTATGAATCCAGCGTTTTTAATGACATTCTTCCCACACCCTGTTACTTAAATTGCAAAAAAAAGCATAATAATTTAAGGGTATATTGCTTAAATTTTCAAATGATTGGTAATCGTGCCAAAGATCTCCCCTAATAAAGCAGTAAACATTACATTCTTTAGATGTCCTCAATGGAGAAAAAAAATCTCCGTAAATATGATTTTTATAATTAGTCAAAAGAAAGGCCTCAGAGCCTGGACAGTGTGGCTCAGTGGCTAAGCATCGACCCATGAACCAAGAGGTCACTGGTTTGATTCCTGGTCAGGGCACATGCCCAGGTTGCGGCTCATCCCCAGTAGGGGCGTGCAGGAGGCAGCCAATCATGTTTCTTTCTCATCGATGTTTCCATCTCTCTATCCCTCTCTCTCTAAAAATCAATAAAAACATATTTTAAAAAAAGAAAGAAGGGCCTCAGGTTTCTTGACATGCTGAGAGAGCCCACCCCGTTAGGATAAGCTGCTTGTAATAGTGGCCCTACTGAATGGATCCGTTTGCCAGAAAACAAGCTCATTACATTATGGTTAATTTCTTATACTTAATCATTGTTTTAAATAAGCAAGTGAGCAGTATCCATTTCTTTAAGGGGAACCCCCTCCCACTAAATTACTATTCTCCCAACATATAGATCATTATAAAATTATTATGATTGATTTTTTTTCTAGGTCTGCAGTCTTGAATAGAAAAAAGGTTTTTCTGCTGTCACTTCAAACAAATTAATCTGAAGAAATAATACGATACTTTTAAGTCTCTTGTGTGGCCCCAAGAATTAATCAAAATGATTTAAGATCTGGCTGTCCTTCAGATGTCCTGCTTGCCTCCTTGGGGATGGTCTTGGCAATCGTGCTTGGAGCGCTTCGGCTTTTGCGAGGTTGGGGTCAAAGGGTCCTGGGGCTGGGAGTGACCTTGGAGCCTTGTCTAGCCGTTTCCCAGCCTACGCCTGATGTTGCCAGGGCTGACGACTACGAAACATGACTGGCCAGATACTCCTCAGCTGAAACTACGGCCTGACCAGGCACCTCAAGTCTTTCATTTAAAGAAACTCCAAGATTTTAGTTCACTTGCACCAAGAGAGGTATGTTATCATTTTCATATGATAGCTGGGGAATAGCAAGAAGCTTAAGCAAGAAAACACTGGTCCGGCATAATTGACATATTGGCTAATCGGTCCTCAAATATACAGCTCAACACAGTAATCACTTAGTAACTCCTGAGAACCACTCTAAATCATGTAATAGCTTAAAACAAATTCAGGATTATTACTTTCAAATATATTCCAACATAAAGAATGAACAAGCCTACTTTTTTTATATAAATGGTCTCTCTGAAGAGTTCAAAATCTTTCCTATGACTTATACATGTACATACACTTCCTTATAATCATCACCACACTCCCCTCTCCCCCCTTTGGAAAAATCCCTTTTCTTTCATGTAAACTTCAGCCCAAGTCCCTCTGACTGACCACAAATCCCGAATCAGCGTCAGTCCATGAAGTTTTACTGTATTCATTTGAGTGCTCACTCCCCAGCCTCAGGCCCTCCTTAAAAGTACCCAGCACCTTGGGATCGCCTACCTGTCCCCTCCTGTACCAAGCCAGCTGCTGAGGCCGCTGCTGCCCTGACTGCCTGGCCCCCTAGCCTTCGCCCTCTGCTGCTGCCCACCTCAGCTCATCCACATCTGGCCCCTCCCTCCCTCTTCCAAACGGAGTGGCTAGGAAGAAAGGACACCGCGAGATGACCGGTCCTGCACGCTAGGAGTTTAAAGCTCAGTGAGTTGATAAGCACAGCCAGTACACAGGGACAGTGTGACACAGACCAGGACCAAGTGAACCTCGTGAGGATTTAATTCATGTGCCCGAGATGTTTGATGTTCTCCCATAATTGGGTACACTATGGATCCAAATTTTAAAAGCTTGTTCACATCCCCCCTCTAACACCGCCCCCCCCCACCCTGCCGCCCTCTCAAAAACATCCAAAGCCAAACAGAAGCATTCTGAATGATCTACCACGTGGGGCCATGAGCAGCCTGTCAGCATCTTGCCAGAGAAGTGAAGAATTAAGAGTTATGTAAGTATGTTTAGATTGTAAACATTTTCCTCAAAAAATATTCTAAACCAGGGGTGGGGAACCTTTCTTCCACCAAGGGCCATACAAAATTATCAACTTAAAAATTAGCCTGCTGTATTTGGTCAAACATTTAATTAACTCACCCTTAAATGCCTTGGCAGGGCCAGACCAAATGATGTTGAGGGCCTTGTATGGACTGTGGGCCGGACGTTCCCCACCCCTGTTCTTAAACAATTCCACAAAAAAAGTGACTTATCTGTGTGATAGAAAAAGCTCCATTTTATTTGAAACAAAACAGAGTAAACCACGAACGTAAACCGCTAAGTGGGGAGATGACGCTGGGACTGGCGTGGAGAGAGGAGAGACACGGGAAGCCATCCTTACCCTTTGTAACTTGCCTGGTAGCACCGGCCTGCGGATACGCTATTCCCTGGCTCTGAAATGCTGCTTCTCCACGTGGAACGATTCACTGTCGGGTGGAGGCACTGCCTGTTTGTACTTCTCTGCAAATCTGGGGAACAAGCCGCCAAGTGGAGATCGCCCCGAGGAAGTTCAAATAGCAGGTCTCCTTGGGTACCGACTCCTTGGAACGTGACAGAGCATATTCTGTCTACTTTTCTGGGGGATTAGAAACACAGCTGCCACTGTCGCCTCCCTGCAGAGGAGGGAAAAGGTATAGCTCAAACCCCAGCGCTGGTTCCAGAGATCACACTGCAGGACATGGGGCAGGTTCTCGTAAATGTCACCAAGATGTTTCAGAAATATTGGCCAGTGGAGGACGGGCCTGTCACTAGTCAGGATTGCTGTGTCTCAATCAAGAAATGTCCATTGCGTTTAATTCATGGTAAAGGAGAAAGAACCCAACGGGCCTTGGGTCTGGGCCCACAGTGTCACGATGTGCAGCTGGGCGAGACACTCTACTGCTCTGGACCCAGCTCACCCAACGGGAAGATGATGGTGGGGGAGACGATCTCTAGGTTCCCAAAGTTAGAAGACTCTCTGGTTGTCGAGTCTCAAGCTTCTGGTCTTGGAAGTAACTTCAACCAAAGAGCAGATCAAGCACTGGTCCCCTGGAGGTTATCTTGGGGCGTGAGGTCAGGGAGAAGCACCATTTGCGTTGGAAGCTGACAGCAAGGGCTGGCCTGGGCCCGGCGGCGTTAGTTCATGGAATATGTCTGGGCCCAGGCAATGCCCACGTGGGAGTAGCAGTACAGGAATCCCAGGACAGAGAGGGTCACCCACGGCCAGCCTGCAGCGGGAGGAGAGAGATGAAAGAGCAGTTAGAAATGCCTGGGGTGGGACCTCCCACAGATGCAAATTATCCTCCAACCCAAGAAACAGCATAGGCCTCGATTTACCCATTAAGACACATGCCTCCTGCAAAGTCTGCTCTAACTGGAATGCCAGCAAGTTGAACCTTACATTCCCACTGGGGTCAGCATGAAATGAGGGGGGCGCTAGCACAAATGCAAATCGTGTTTAGAAATAGGACAAGCTTTTAAAGAATATGTATTTAGAAAACTAAAGCAGTTAATAATAAAGAACATGCCCTGCTGGTGTGGCTCAGTGGCTGAGCATCAACATATGAACCAGGAGGACGAGGTTCAATTCCCCGTCAGTGCACATTTCCAGGTTGCAGGCTTAATCACCAGGAGGGGGTGTTTCTATCTCCTTCTGAGATCAATAAAAATTTTAAAAAATGTTTTAAAAGGACAACAGTCCATGAGACCCATAGTAAATCTCAAAATACAAATTGACCATTATTTTGAATTAAGTGTCATTGGTAAGCACACAGGAGAGTCTAAATTAAACATTTGCTTTCAAAACTCACACCTTTTAATGGTTCATTCTACAAGTACTTGTCTTAGAATATCTGATGGCTCTTTTCTTTCTCCTTCTTTTAATTAACAGCTCTTTCTGCTGAGTATTTGTTGCTGAATGATCTTCATGTCTTCTACATGTTTTACTTATTAAAACACTTATGGGGGCTTTGGAGAGCCAGAGGTTCTATGGAGGATACCAGATGCCAAAATAGAAAGATCTAGTCCTCCGTCAGAGGTGCTCCCACTCTAGCTTAGAAAAGACACACACCACTTGGATTTATGAGCCATGTAATATGTGCTAGATAATGACGTGTACAGAGCACAGTTAAACTGCACCATGTGGGATAAGAATTTTTTAGATGGAAAGGGCCAGGGATGAGTACCAGAGAGACTACCTGAAGTGTGAACATCACACTCCAAGGAACAGGGATCTTGTGATGTGGCTACCACACAGGGAGGGGCAGGCAGAGAGGGGGCAGGGGAGGAGTAGGGAGGAGGCAGGCTCTCTTCCTGCTACACAGATGGTATAATAGATGGAGTAACAGGATATAGGTAGTGTATCATGATATCCTATATAATCCTATATAATAAAAGGCTAATATGCAAATCGACTGAATAGTGCACTGACCACCAGGGCGCAGAGGCTCAATGCAGGAGCGGTTCCCTGGTGTCAATGCGCTCCCAAAGGGGGAGTACCGCTCAGCCAGAAGCCCTGAGCCTGGTTCACAGCTGGTAAGCACAGCGGTGGTGGCAGGAGCCTCTCCTGCCTCCGCGGCAGCACTAAGGATGTCCGACTAATGGCTTAGGCCCGCTCCCGCACTGCAAGAGGGCACAGGCCAGGCTGAGGGACCCCCCCCACACACACACAAGTGTACAGATTTTGTGCACCAGGCCTCTAGTTGTTAATAAGACATTGGTGAGGTATATAATAACTACAGCTAATGAAAAATGTGTAGAACACAGAGGAAAATGCCTACAGCTAATAGAAAGTGAGTAGTGTCATTTTACTCAGGGTTACTATGGCTAAGCAATTCCCTGAGCAATTCCTTCTGTCTGAAGGGACTGAAAAGGCAGGGGCTGTGGATAGTGAAGGAAAAGATGATCATCATGCAGGGCCATGAGGGGTAAAGGTTTTCTGAGAAGTGAAGGGATAATCAGAACAAGAAGCGGGTCTAACAAAAAACTTTGTCTAAAATGTAACGTTGTAAAATGGTACAGCCACCATGGAAAACAATATGTAGGTTTCTCGAAAAATCAAACATAGCTTTACTACATATATACCCAAAAGAATGGAAAGGAATGACTAGAAGAGATATTTGTACACCCTTTTTCACAGCAGCATTACTTACAAGAGCCAAAGATGGAAGTAACCCAAGTGTCCATGGACAGATGAATGAATCAACAAAATGGGATATAATGGAATATTTCCAGCCTTAAAAAGGAAATTCTGACATTTGCTACAATATGGTGAACCTTGAAGACATTAGGCCAAATGAAATAAGCCAGTCACAAATGAACAAATACTGTGTGATTTCCACTTACACCAGGTACCTGTCTATCAAGTTCATAGACACAGAAAGTAGAATGGTGGTTGCCAGGCGCTGGGGAGGAAGGGGAGTTATTGTTTAACGGGTACAGAGTTTCGGTATTGCAAGATGAAAAATGTTCCAGAGATGGATGGTGGTGATGGTTGCACGACAATAGGAATATATTTAATACCACTACTGTACACTTAAAAGTGGTTAAGATGGTAAGTTTTATGTTATATATAATTTACTGCAAAGAAAAATTATGCTGGGTGAAAGAAGTCATTGACAAAATAATACAGACTGTATTACTCCATTTATGTAAAATTCAAATTGATTTATAGTAACAAAAAGCACATGAGTGGCTGCCTGGGGCTGGAGCAGGGGGAGGGCTACTAGCAAATGACAAAGGGGCACTAGGAATCCTTGGGGATGATGAAAATGGTTTGTATCTTGATTATGGGAATGTTTTCAAGGGTATACACATCTGGGAAATACCTTAAATGAATTTCTAGTAAAAGTTGTAAAAAAAATTTTTTTAAAGATAACAGAACACTAGCAAATCACAGGTTTACGGTATGCTACAATGTCCTAGGACATATATGCCCCAAGATATTCAAATAAAAAATGCAGGAAGATACAATTCATTTTGTTATTAATCCTTACCCAACGACATTTTTTCCATTAATTTTCTTTTCTTAGAGTTGAAGAGAGAGATGTCAATGTGAGAGAGACACATGAATTGGTTGCCTCCTGCTCATGCCCGGACAGGGGCTGGGGATCAAACCTGCAACCCAGGTACAATTCCTTGACCGGGAATTGAACCCCAGATCCTTCGGTGCACAGACCGATGCGCTAACCACTAAGAAACATGGTCCAGGGCAGGGGTCCTCAAACTTTTTAAACAGAGGGCCAGTTCACTGTCCCTCAGACCTTTGGAGGGCCGGACTATAGTTTAAAAAAAAACTATGAACAAATTCCTATGCACACTGCACATATCTTATTTTGAAGTAAAAAAACAAAACAGGAACAAATACAATATTTGTATTTGCATGTGGCCCGTGGGCCGTAGTTTGAGGACCCCTGGTCCAGGGCCTACCCTCATATACTTTACACATCTGGGCCTCAAACCTAGGTTTTGAGGCCTCAGCATTTTCTTTCTTTTCCAAAAAGCTCACCTACTTCTTTTACATCCTCTCACGGGAAAGAAGGATTGGATGGTTCTACATTGAAGCATGAAACCCTAAGGCACTGGTTCTCCAACATGAGCCCGCATCAGAACTACTGGAGGGCGTGTTAAAACAGAAGGCTGGGCCCCCATCCCAAACCCCTGTGGGAAGGGCCTAAGGGGTGGCCCTAAGATTTGCATCTCTAACGCCTCCCTAGGTGATGTGGACTCCGCTGGTCCAAGGACCGCCCTCTGGGAGCCACTGTCCTAGGGGGGCTCTGCAGAAAGAGCTCCCCACTAATGCTGTTCATGACCTGGGGGGCTCTCACGGAGAGGAGGCAGACCATTGCTGAGCTTTACAAGTGGCCAGGTACTCTGCTGGGCGCCTTCTCCATCCTCTACCACCTTATCGGGGAGCTATTATTAGCCCCTGTTTGTAGAAAAGGAAGCTAAGGCTCAGAGAAGTACAGTAACTTTTCCCAGGTCTAACAGCTAACTTACACCTCAGGGCTGTGTGTGCACTCGGCCCTCCTGGCCTGTCCCTTTCCCGTCGATCCTCTGCCTCCAAATCCGGTTTCCTCCCTTTACTCGTGGTGCCAAAGGTAGCAGGGAGGGGGAAGCAGCAGGTGCTTATTAGCATCATCCATCATTAACTCACTTGGTCACCCCGCCTCCAGAGGCCTCGGTTTCTCCTATTTGCAAAGGAGGCCGAAGGAAGCACTGATGAGCATGTTTCTACCCTTTGTCTTAGTGCCTAATGTAGACTCAGCACTGAAGGGCATGCTCCCTGTGCCCGGGTGACCTTTTATTAAGGCTGTGAGAACCCAGGTTATTTGGCCTGCCTGGGGCTGAGCCTCCACAGGGCATCCAGCAAGGTGACAGAGGACGGGGTGGCCCCGGGCCCTCAGGGAGCCTCCGGCCATCCCGGGAAGTCGCTTGCTAGGTGCAGCGAGCACACTGGCACTGGCACAAGCAGCGTCTTTAATGAATCATGTTGTTCACAGTCAATTTCACAGCCTGATGAAGTCAATTTCACAACCCGGGCTGCATTTTTCATCCTTCCCCGGCGCCCGCCTGTGCCGGCCTGCAGGCAGATGCTCGCTGAAGCCCTCGCTGCCATAAAGTAAAATCACTTCACGTGAAATTGGGGAAGCGCCGAGGACAGGCCAGAGCTGCTGCGGTTGTTTTTTTAATTTAAATTTTTTATTGTTGACACTTTTTAAAATTTACCCTGACGGCGCAAGTGGAAGGCGGTGCTGAGAAAACGCAGATTTTTCTCTCGCTTGTGGCAAATGGTGGGGGACCCGCTTCCCAGAAAACTGTCCCTGCAGCGGGTACCACAGCCCCAACCCTGGCCTCTGGGGACAGAGGCTGCACAGTCAGAACCTGCTTCCACAGCTGTTTCTCTTCCCTGACCCGAATCCTAATACACGGCCTAACTAGGACTGCTGTTCACCATTGGTCCACGACCACACTATATAACACAGCGGATGCTGCCCAGCCCACGAGCTCACAAAAGCCGCTTCCCCAAAGCAAAGGGATGTGCACGGTGCGAACCAGGGTCTCTGACACACAGCCCTGACAACCCCTCACCCTCACTGATATTTATGAAGCACCTACTGTGTGCTTAACATTTAGGCAACCTGGATGCTTGTCACATGAGCAGTCTGCATGCCCTGAGGGCTATGAGCACACTCTGGGGGCCTGAGGCATCACCTGCACCTTGAGGTTC